TGTGTGTGTGTGTGTGTGTGTGTGTGTGTGTGTGTGTGTATGGATATGTGTGTGCGTATCTGTTTGTGTGTGAGAGTGTGTCTGTGCGTGTGTCTGTGGGTGTGTGTATGTTTGTGTTTATCTGTGTGTGTATGTGGGTGTGTATATGTGTGTGTGTCTGTCTGTGTGTATCTGTGTTAGTGTGTGTATGTGTGTGTTTGTGTATTTGTGTATGTGTGTGTGTGTGTGATGGGTCTGTGTGTGTAAATGTGTGTGTATGTACATGTGTGTGATTGTGTGTGTAAGTATTTATGCGTGTCTGTGTCCGTGTATCTGCGTGTGTCTTTCTGTGTCTGCGTCTGTGTGTGTATGTGTGTGTCTGTCTGTGTGCATATGTGTGTGTGTCTGTGAGTGTGTTTGTGTGTGTGTGTGTGAGTGTGTGTGTAAGTATGTATGCGTGTCTGTGTCCGTGTATCTGCGTGTGTCTTTCTGTGCCTGCGTCTGTGTGTGTATGTGTGTGTCTGTCTGTGTGCATATGTGTGTGTGTCTGTGAGTGTGTTTGTGTGTGTGTGTGTGTGTGTTTGTGTGTGTGTGTTGTATATGTGTATGTGTCTGTGTGTGCGAGTGTGCATGTAAATGGGTGTGTGTGAGTGTATATGTAAGTATGTATGTGTGAGTGTGTGTGTGTCTGTGAGTGTGTGTGTCTGTGTCTGTGTGAGTGTGCGTGTGTCTGTGTGTGTGAGCATATGTGAGTGTGTGCACGTGAGTATGTGTGTGTGTGATGTGTGTCTGTGTGTACGTGTGTGTTTGTATGTCTGTGTGTCTGTCTATGTATGTCTGCATGTGTGGGTGTCTGTATGTGTGTCTGTCTGTATGTGTGTGTGTGTATGTGTGTCTGTATGTGTATATGTGCATGTAAGTCTGTGTATGTGTATGTGTATGTGTCTGTGCGTGTGTGTGTGTATATGCAAATGTGTGTGTGTGTGAATGTATATGTGTGTGTGAGTGTGTATGTATGTGACTGTGTGTGTGTCTGTGTATGTATGAGTGTATGTGAGTGTATGTGTGTGCCTGTGTGTGTGAATGTCTGTGTGTGTCTGTGCGTGTGTGTGCGTGTGTGTGTGTGTGTGTGTGTGTGTGTGTGTGTGAGAGAATGTGTGTCTGTGTGTGAGCGTATGTATGTGTGTGAGTGTATGTGTGTGTGTGTGGCTGTGTGTGTGTTTGTATGTCTGTGTGTGTGAGTGTGTTTGTGTGTATGTGTGTGTTTGTATGTCTGTATGTGTGTCTGTCTGTGTGTTTGTATGTCTTTGTATGTCTGTGTGTATCTGTGTGTGTGTCTGTGTTATATCACAGGCCTCCGTATTGTTCAATCTGCAGGAATGCGAAAGCTACATGCCCTCTCCATCCTTCATGTGAACATCGAGAACGACTGAAACGAAAACAGAAATTGCTGGAGAAACACAGCAGGCCTGGCAGCACCTGTGGAGAGAGAAAGCAGAGTTAACATTTTGGGTCCAGTGACCGTTCTTCAGAACTGGACCTGAAACATTAATTTCATTTGTCTTCCCAGAAACGCTGCCAGG